CCCAGAGATCTCGTTCCCTTAAAAACCCTTGACAAATTCAATTGAGTTGGTTTCGACCTCCACAGAGGAATTCCGCTTGAAGAGATCTCGACATCAGGAGACTCAAGCTTTAGTGTTTATGGGAGACTAGGACATCTAATGATACAAATTTGGGGAACATAGCCAAGATATGGCGAGGAAAAGGTCCACGACGACAGATAAGGAGCAAGCGACAGATCTAACCAAAGGTTTGGGAGGATTCGGTGATGCTGAATATGTCAAACTCCGGAGGTTCACCGAACTTTATGGCGAGAGAGCGAGAACTGAACATGTAGCCATAGATTCACCGAATAGTGTCTTGCCGACGAATGCGAGATGGCGGTGGAAAAAGGAACGACGGTGGTGAAGTCGCAAGAGGTGGAGACGAGCAACTCATATCTGGTTGGAGGAGCCAAGCTGGAGAAGATCCATTGTCGAAGGCAAACACGACGGTGAACTTACCTTGGTTATTTGAACTGGAAGAGTTATTCTAGAGCGAATTGAATATGTAACCCCTTAAAGGCACATAAACATATGAATGTGGACCAGGGTGTCTGCATAGTGGTCACACGGAAGAGACCATTAACCATGTGATTTTCTTTTGTCCACCGTCGTTACAGTGACATTGTCAAAATATCGTATTCCACGTAATTGGAGTCCATTCAAGAGTATGAGGGAGAATTTGCATTACTTATACAGACGAATACCAAATGGTAAAGAGTTTACAGAGGTCATTATACCCACTTGGCCAATAATACGGTTCTGCATCACTAAACATGACCATCTCGTACCATTGGCAACGTCAGATTTGACACTGGGTATACTCTCTTGGATTTAACTTTTTGTGCTTTAGTCATAAAAAATAAAAATTATAGTGAATTTATTTTACATGTAATTATTTTTCTAGGTTTACTATCTGTTTCATAAACAATTTGTAATCCGAAATCTTTATTTTTATTATTTCCCATTTAGCCAAAAAAAATAAAAAAATGGAAGGCGAACAGGACAGAATGTGTTGATTGATAAACGGGAAGCACATTGGAGGATGAGTTCCTTTACCTTTTTACCATTTGGGAAACAAAACAAGACTATCTAGTATGAACCATCAAAGTCAATTGCTCATAGACTCTACCTGTGCTCTTGTTTCCAAGCATATGCTTGAGGCTTTATATGAGAGCGGGGAACTTTCCAAGCTTCATGCAGTTACCACAAACACAGAAGACGAATTCTAGCTTTAAGTATGTGTACAAACAAATTGTGAACTTAGGTATTTGTACAGCAGTTCGATATATTTGTATGTCTTTAGCTTTATGTTTGAACTGTCAGCAAAAATAAATTTCACTCAGACAATGACATAAGGATCAGAATAGGGGTTTTCAGAACAGTCATATCATGTCCTGTCGATTTAAAGGTACCTGCATATAAGCAGTTTGGTTTGTGGACTTACAGCAGTTGAAATGAGAAATAGGCGTAAGTTGTCATGGCCAATAAAGAGCTAAGACTAGCAAAATAAAGACAAAGGTAGTAAGACATGCTATTGTCTACAATAGGACACTTAGGGTCGTGCTCTTTTGTTGCTGCATGAAGGGCACTTGTACTGTTTGATATGCTCAGCTCTAGCTGGAGTTATCTTGACACACTTCCCATGGAACCATATCTCACAAGCGTCACAACAGATCCAGAATTCATCAGTACCATCACCATCTCCACAGGCTCCACAAAGGGTGTCGCTATGT